CTAGCCCCGACAATGGGTCTCTGACACGAACAACCACAACAACAAAGCCACAAAATCATCTAATCTCAGTTCTGGCGTCTGTTGGAGTCATGGGCTCTTGGCTTGAAGACAAAATAAGACAAAGCATTCTTCATCTGCGTGGTTGGACTTGCAGAGTTGTTCTTCCGGAACAGAATCCTTGCACGTTTGGACATCTATTCAACTATTCCCCCGCACCCTGCGATCGTCAATGTCTCGGACTGGAAAACCCGAAACTATCGAAACCCTATAAACCCTAAGACCCCGAAAGCCTGAACCCCAAACCTTCAACTGCTACAGGACCTAATCCCTGGAACCCACCCTTCCGGCCCAAGCCAAGAAGCTCACACCACCAAAGCATTAATTCTTACATGCAATGAGGGCTTTGGGCACGGCTTTTCAGGTGCAAAGACATGCCCAGACCATCAACCCTTAACGTCAATGGCTCGAAGTTCGCATCCAAGGCCTCAACGCCCCAAAGCTTCCAGTCGTTGAGGTAGTGTAACCAAAGGCATAAACCGTAGCAGAGGCACTCTGAGAGGGTAGGGAGCTCCCTGTTATTACGGCGTCAAGACCACCCCCCCGCCCCCCCAACTCTCGAGCTTGCGGTGGAGCCTTGAAACCGCCTCGAAGGCGTCGCTGGTTTTATTTGCACGAGCCCTGTGACACGAGGAGCACCAAAGGCTTAAGGATCGGGCCGAGTTTTCGAGGCTTTTCGACGAGAAAATGAGAGGACACTGTGACACTGTTGAGAGACCACCGCATCTCTTGCTCCTGCTCGCAGAAACTATCCTAAGAAGCTGCTGCCAGCTCAAGCCCTCTGAACTTCGAGGTTGCGCCGCCACGGCCACTGGCGGAATGCCAGCTCCCCAGACTGGCCTTCGGCCAATCAGCTTCGCCATGGCCCAGAGTGCCATGGAGAGCTCCTCCGTAGGGTGGAAGCTGAGGGCTGAACGTAAGGTTCCCGCAATGACGACTACACTAGGCGTTGAAGCTGCCGCGTGGAAGAGTGCAAGAGCTCAATTTCAGACCAGTACGCAATTTCGGGCTGTGCACCTGCCGCTCTCTAAACAACTGAGGCCTGCGGGAAGAAGAGCTTCAGCAGGTCTTCGGAAGCCATCGCACGCCTGGCTGCATCGATGCAGAAGCGCCCCACCACCTGTCACCGAGGAGTCAGTGTGTGAACCCGCCCAGCACACGCACTGTAGCATGAACATTGCTCCTGAATCTCCAGCGTCTGATTTGCTTAAGTATCGGCCGCCGAACTCTCTTGCCTTCCTGCTAGCTCTACGGAACGAGTTTTAAAACAGGATGTTCCGAATGTGACCGTGCAAGGATATCGTCATCGAAAAACCGAGGTCTGTGGTGGTCTCGCTCGGGCAGCGGGCCCACTAACAAGTGTCGACGGTGACAGCAGTTTGCAGCGGCCCTTGTGCTGCACGTCCTGAGCAACTTGTGCAACCATGCAGGGCCTCCATGTCCAATTTTGCCTCCCGGCTGTCTGACTGGAGCTTGGCACCTGGAGTTTGGGTACAGAGGCTTCGGATGATGAGGTTTTAAGACAGGTTGCAAAAAGTTCAGAAGGCCAAGCTTGGCCAAGGGGCGCGCTGCCCTCAGAAATTCAGTTGTGTGATCATGCTGCTGCTCTCTGCCGCTTCTGTTGTCACTGCTACCAGTGCTGGTACTACCACCATGCACGAACCCTAATGCGTTGGTGGTGCAGCTACGGCATGTGGCAAGTAGCATCAGCGCAGTTATTAGTATTATTAGGGCCTACGACACCTGTAATGAGTAAGATTCCGTCGTCTGGCTGAGGGAGCAGCAGGCCCAGAGGCTGTTGGCGAGACCCTGTGGGGACATCTCCTGCATGCTCATGCCAACAGCATTCCAATCAAAGGTTGAAAAGGCGGCTTGTCTTCAGAAGTGGCGATCTCGTCCAATTTCTCCAATCCAAGGGCAAATCATCCCTGAACCTTTAAAGCCAGCGGCACACGCTCATAATCACGGGTCTGAGAAAGTGGGTAAGTGCTGCCGTGCAAAGGGCTTCCAGCATGTCCTTGAACAGTACCAAGTGAATTTGGCTCAGGCACTGGTTGGAGAATTCTCGCACTTCCTCGTGCAGCAATGTGCTCTCGTTTCTGAATGATTCCCCCATGCTCTGCTCCTAAAGCCAAACAATGCCGAACCGGAGCCAGAACTTCTTGCTCCGTTTGCGACCCCAGCCTAGGCACCCCTTCCCAACTCCACAGTCCTCGCCGCGCAGCCCCAGCTTTGCTACTGCCCAGAGGCTGTTTGTGAGGCACCTTTGTGATGCTTGAATGCCATGACAAGGTGGACCAAAGACTTCTAGTCTAGCGGCTCCAGCTGCACATGCGTTCCGAACTCCTCAATCCTTCCGTAAGCTCCAACCGGACTTGAAACATTCACTCACCGCTGCCCTGAGCGACAGCGCTGTGTGCTGAACTGCGAGAGCCGTGACGCGCCTGTCCAAACCAAAACAACGAGAACATGCGTTCTTGGAAGGTTCCCTGTGCAGCAGGACCCCAGAAGGGCTAGATTCGGCTAGATGGGCTCCAGAAAGCTGCGGTGATATTGGACTTTGGGCTTCCCATCCGTAGATTGTCATTTGGGCCTAGGGTTTCTTCGGGCTTGGCGCAGTGGGCTGCTGTAAATCAGGGGAGAAGGTGGGCTGCTTGTGGTTCAGGATCATTGGAGTGTTGGGTTAAGGCTGAATAGGCTGAGTGGGCCAAGGGCCACAAGAGCACGACCACCTTTTCACTGTAAGCGACCCCTTCTCACGAAGCCCCTTACCAATATCCCAATGCGTTCGCACACGCCGCCCCCCCCCCCCCCCCCCCGACCTTGCGCCATGACTGCATAGGCCAGCCTGGAGGGGTTCAAAGAATATGTTGCAGAAGCGTTTCCAATGGCTGCCACGAGCTCAAGCTCAAGATTTCTATTCACACCAACAGGCTTGCAAGGACCAGGAAAGCTGAACGTAGGTCTCCGGCCGAATTCCTTCCGGCTTCAGACCTTGCGCGCTCTCGCTCAGCCTGCAGCCAGGGCTGGGCGAGCCCTGAATCCCGGACTTCGCAGAGGATGAAGGTTGCAAATGTGGCTCAATTGTACTTGCCCGATACATGTACGGCATGTCCACAGGCTTTCGGCAAACCTGCAGTAAGCCCCTGTACAGCTTGGGGTGGTGGTAGCAGATAGCTCGAATCATCCTTCATGTGCTCAGGTTGTTCCTGGACCTACCCTGCACGTTACTACTGCTCTTTCTCTCAATCTCCAGACCTGGCAAGCCCCCACAGAGTGTTGGAGAGCTCCTGGCACCTGGAGGATGCAACCGCTATTGCGACAGAATACGATCACACTTCACACTGGACTAGACGCGCCTCTGGGTTCAGAGCTTGCAGGGGACATACTCCATGCGGACCTTTCAGCCCTTAACCACAGTGCTCGTCTCTGGGGCACCGACGAAAACTGAGTCAGAATGGGCCTTGGCTTGCCCTACGGTGCAAGTCCAAAAACTATCAGCTTTCGTTCGAGTCACATCAGTTCTCGTCCAAACCCCGCCATGACCAGGGCTCATCGATTTTTGGGTCCCTACATAATTGCAGACGGTGGATGACAGTGGTGCAGTGATTAGTGATTGCCCCAGCGGTCCGAAACTATGTCTGCTGGATCCTCGCTGCGCTTGTCTGTAAGTCTATTCAGGCCAAGCTGCTGTGAAGTTTCGGCGAGCACGGCGATGATGCCCTGCCAGATTTGCTTTCTTGCTAACTTCGGCTGCTTCCCGGCGCGACTCTTTCCGTTTGCAAATCTGGAATGCACGCCGGGCTTAACGTGGCTTTCACAGGCGGCATCTTCCTGGCCTTGGGCAGCCAAGCTGCTCACCAACGCGGAGACACTCGACCCAGGAACGCCCCACCGAGCCGAGAACCCTGACTGGATCCTAACACAAAAGCCCGTGGCCTCGACATCCCTACCTTTCAGCCCGAGCTTGCCAACGGCCCAAACAGTTCCTCAGGCGAACAGGCGGGGTGTTCACTGGGCTTCGTAGAGGTTGTAGGTTGATTTTGCAAGTATTGGGGCAATTGAGCTGCCAGTATCATGTGCTATAGCTCTTGAAAGGCCATCAGCTATGCCTACAGCATCACAGAGCTTCGTCCTGACAGCCAGGCAACGAATGGGAAAACCTGGGCCCCCTGCTCATGATGACGCGCGGATAAGTCAGTTCGAAGGCCTTCGACCTGGCACACAAAAGGATATCGGACTGGGCAGGGCAATATATGCTAGCCGCCGATGGTCCACAACCGCGAAACACCTGAGGAGAATTGAAGCCCGCAGTCGAAGAAGCGCTGCTGCTACCCCGCTCCCCTATGCGCCTGAGTGCTGACAGAACTTTCGCCAAACGAGGGTCGTTTAACAGATTGTCCAATCCTCATGCAGGGAGGCAGCTGGAGAGAATGTTGCCAAAGCAGCGAACACCCGCACTTGCCTTGGACCCTCGAGACCATGGCAAGGTGGCTTTATCCAAAAACCAAATTGACGGGTTTGGATTTGCTTTTGAATCTCGAGGCCACTGAGAGCGTGCTCCATCTCGATCAACATTGACAGGTTTTGATTTGCCTTTGATTCTTCAGGCCAGCGCAAGCGTGCGCTACCCCAATCTAAATTGAAAGGTTTGAATGTGCTTTTTGATTCTGGTGGCCATTGCAAACATGCTCCCCCGATTAATCCAGATTGATGGGTTGGGATTCGCCTTTGACACTCAAAATCACTGCGAGCGTGCTTTACTCCACTCTACATTGACGGGTTCAACTAAGCCGTCGAGTGCATTCCTAAGACCAAGGATTTGCGGCTTGTTCCAGGCGCGTGTGCAGGTCCTCAGCAAGCCATCGATTGCTGTAGGAGTCGTTCAAAACAATGCAAAGTTGTTTGGTTCGGGAGATGCTGATACTGATGGCTTCTCACAAAAAAGCGACTCCTCGAGGCTGCGAATTCGCTGAAGTCAACAAGCAACCTGACAAGCTAGACTGAATCCAGCGCTGCTATTGCTGCCGCCCAGCTGAAACAAGAACTCAAGTCCCTCAGGTTGAGGTGCAACGACCGGGCCTTAGACTCTGCGACCTGAGAGCAATCATGAAACATGAAACCTCAGGCTGACATAACCGGTCATGCTAGAATTCTCCAAACACGCAACTTACACCTGATAGCTTGAGCTTTGCTGTCTCTCCTCCGATGGCGCCGTAGGCGTCGTTCTCCGTAAGCTTTGCGGTGGTGTGGAGACAGGACACCTAATAGGATGAAGATGATGTTGCTTCTTGGAGCTTCTTGGTAACAGGTGGGAATGACTAGTTGCTACTATAATCTGTAGAGGCACCAGCACAACTCATGATCAGCACTACTACGCTATTCATCGTCGTCTATAGTGGTCGTAGCAGTGGCAACAATAGCGGAACCGGTAGTGGCAACGCTAGTACGCAGCAGTTTCGGATTAGTAGTTGTGCTAGCAGTCGTAGTGCATAGCAATCGACATCGTAGTCGTAGTAGCAGCCGTCGTCGTAGTAGTAGGAACACTACAAGCATTTCTTTCGCAGGAGGCGAAAGTCTTCCTGTCCGCCTGATGTTGCTCATGATGCAGATTGTAGTGTTCGTCTCGATAGAAGTATTGCTGACTTGTGACTAGTGACTACTCTTCATGATGCTCATGAGTAGTGACGACTACTCTGACGAGTCATTATCCTATGCTACTATGCTCAGTGGTTGGTATGGCATAGCAGTCGCTTTGCTTCCGCAAGCACTTTGAGGCACACATTGAGTGCTTCATGGGGTTGAGATTCGAGATCTTGGCCCATCCGAGAAGACCCCAAACAGCAGGACTGAATCCGGAACTCGGAATTCAAGAAGCAGACTTGGGTCTGCTTTGGGAAAACCTTGGGAAGGTTCAGCGGCTGGTGTTTTGGGCATTGATTTCGCACTGGAAATTCAGAGATGCAGGGAATTTGCGTCTACCATTCATGTATGCATGCATGCCATGCATGCATACATATGCATGTACCCATGTATAAACAATATCCTGCATACAAAGCAAGTCACCATTTCTCGATCCGGCGCACCTCTCCTAAAACCCTCTGGTCTGGAACGCTGAATCAAGCACAGCCCCCGCGGACCCCTGGATGGCGCAGCCGACATCTCGCAAAACACAAGAGCTCCGGAACCCGGGGCTAGACAGAGTCCCTTTGAGCTTCGCGGCAAGTCCCGCCGCTCCACCTGGGTGCGCAGGACTCTCGATCTTCAGTCTCCCTGTCTCTGGCTCATCTTTTCAAGAAGTGTACTAATGGTGTGTGTCTGTGTGTTTGCTAGGAGTGCCGATTGGATCATAAACTTATATCACAATTGTATCAATCGCTCACCTCATGCAAACACTTACCGGAAACCATCAAATTCCTCAAAGTCTTGAAACAGAAACGACACCGAAACGCAGCCTCAACCATGCTGCTAAGTGAGCCACCAGCTGCAATAGAGCCGAGAAGCATTGTTCTGCGTTCTGCACCACAGTGGAAGAGAGTATCTCCTCCACATCCTCCGACAGTTTGGATGAGCTTCTCACAAGAAAGTGAGCTGTTTGGCCGCCATCCCAAAGGTGCCATGCCTGTGATGCCTATGCGTGTGTGATCATCACCTCTTGGCACTGGTGTGCCGCACGTTTACGATTTCAGTGTATGCCTGCAAAGTCCAGTCGACAATACACACATTTCGAGTTTCGCTTGGTCGGGCTAGCTGACGACACAGATGCATTGGCATAGATGACCCGGCAATGGCGAACCTCAACCTATCCTAGTTGGCACTTGGAAGTTGCTCACGAAACACGAAGCCATGTCCACGATACTCAATCCCCAAGAATGCATCTACCTGCGAACGGCTGTTTACACCTTCAGTCCGAATCTCAAAGCCGAAAGCTTTCACCCGTGGCTCCGGCCTCAGCTGCTTCCCACGCCTGCTCTGGAACTCCTGTGGCGCTTCCCTGGGCCCCTTGAAGGCCTGGAGCCCTTTGCAGTTCTTTGGGCGTTGCCAATTCAAAGAGATAGATGTCCCTACACATTGTACATATGAAAGCTCTCAAGGCGCCTCCGATGGGTTCCCCTGTTGAAGCTTGAGGGTTCGAGAGCTTTTGGCACACATGGGTGGCTCCGCAGTTGATGTGCTGCGCTGCAGATTTCGGCGGCTAGGTTGAGTTGAAGATACACGCATCCCGTGCGTGGCCACCCGGAAGACCTCATCCTCAATCTTGCCTTTGAATGCTCTGGTGCGACGCTGTATTTTTTATTAGACGACCCTTCAGCCAAACGCCCGTCGACCAAGAATCCGTATCAGCATTCCCATGTCCTATTTGGCCGTTCTCAATTCCAGGAGAGACGTCGGCCAGGTTGCTGCTTGGCTGGAGCCTCAGTGCTTCCTGCTCCTATCCTGATCCATCCTGCATCCGGTAGCATGCAAGAAACTGAAGCTATTTCAGGTACAAGTTCGAGGGGAAGGCAATCAGAAGGGTGCTGCAGCGCAGTCTGCCATTTCACCCTATCACGTCCTTGATAGCTCTGAGCTTTACCATATGGTGGCCAACGGATTGCCGTAACTCTAGTTTGGTTGGAATACCGAATACAAACAAACGCTCTGGCTGAACCTGCTTTGTCCCGGGATCCGGCAAATGGGCTTCAATCTGGATTCCCAGGCCAAGGCATTCGTCAGGGTGGTCTTGCACACTTTGCTCTAAGTAAGTGCTCCTGGAAATGAGGCTGCTATCCCCCGGTCAAACTCCTTGCAACAACATCTTGCAAGATCATCTGCCGCACAGCTGCACTTTGTTTGAGCATGCACCCCCTTACGCCCTTACCCCCCACCCGAAGTCCCAGGCCCGGGACCAGGGCCCCCGCCAGATTTGCTGCGAGGCATCCTCTTTGGGCTGCCACAACTCCAGGGAGTTTTCGAATCGAAGGAGCTCTTGCCTCAAAGCTACGTTCAAGATGAAGGAAGACTTTTTTTGCATTTGTAGAACTGGAAACAGCAATCTTTATGATAGGAATGCTGATTATTCATCACTCAAGGGTGCAACTCTTGGAGCTTGTTAGAAGAAAGTCTTGAAACACTATGAGTTGATCTTGAGAGACACAGCAGCACCAACGGCAAAGCCACCCGTACATATCCAAACCACAAAACTGTTCAACTGCTCAGCTTCCTGGGGAATGGAGGACCTGCTGAGAGCAAGAAAGCAGTCCTACGAGCGACGACTCTCCTACTACTGCCTATGCTCACAAGATCCCATGACGCATCCAAGGTGCCGCTTTGTGTGCTATGTCGTTTGGAAAAGGCTTGGGTCACCAGCCCATAACATGCAAACTATCCGTCTGCAGGCACAGAGTCGCAAAGTTCTTGCTCGCTGTATCGCCAGATTCTGAACTGAGATCCCGCGCAGCTTCAACACCTGCTGCTGCGGAGGCGCAGGTGCCTCCGCTTCTATCTCGCACCAAATGCTTCCACTTGGATTTGGAACCCTGAGGGCTCAGGTCGCTCGAAAACAGATCGACGGAGGCAGCGTCTTCGACTGACCAAATCTGGCTTCAACGGCTTGTTGACCTTGCACCTTTAACTTCAGTTCCGAAGAGCGTGCGAAAGAACGTGCAAGGTTTCGGACTTCTGGCGCCCTTGGCGCCGGGGCCCAAAGTCCCAGCAACAACCCATTTCTACTGTGCTGCCTGGTTCGCGCAATCCGTTGGCATCCACCAGGATGGGACCATAACAAACTGCTGCTCCTCCGTCCAGAAGAAAGAAGTGTCGGGCCAAGGGATTCGGATACGCGGCACCGCCACTGTTTCATCCCAATAGGATGTTCGAATTCCTGCAAGGTAGAGCTTGAAGATCTTGAGCCCTTTTACTTCAAGACCGAGGACCACGGAACAGAGCTTTCCAAGTACAGGGAGCTGAGCCTATTCTGAGGCTTCAGTTTGAGTGCATCGACGGATGAGGCAACCCTGACATGCCTCCCGAACTTCGGAATCCCCCTGTGATCCCATCCGAAAACACTGGCCAAACCTCACGAAGGCCCACAGCCCTCTCTCAGCAAGTGCAGGTCCGTCTGCACAGGAAGGTGTTGAGGAGGGACGGTGCATCTGGAATATGCCAACCTCAGCTGGGATTTTTTCCTGTCAAGTGCTTCTGCCGATGGTCGTGAACAGATGGCGTGTCTAGCTCCATTCGAGATCGTGACATCGGACTCGACGCCAGAAGCGGTTCTGGACTCTCGCAGGCTTTGAACTCCTCCACTGTCCTGAAAAACCTCGTGCTCCCAAGCTCCTCAACTCGTTCCCCCAAAAGAGCTCCTACTGGAAAACCTCAAAACCCGAATTCTCCATCGTCCCTTTTCAACTTGAGCCTAGATAAAACCTTTCAAAAAACCTCTGGAGGCAGAACTTGGATCTCTACTCCTGAGCCCGAGATCACGTGAACTCATCTGATTTATTGGGCCCTTGGGGGGGGGGGGGGGGTTGCGAGCTTTGTTGCGGGGCACACGGCTGAAGAATGCGACTTACCCACAACATCCTTGCAGCAATCCTACACCTTGGACCCTGCCACACACACACACATACATTCGGGTGCATGGCGTATGTACGCACGTACGATACGTGCATACATTGATACATAC